GGCAAGTTTCCGTGATCTGGTGCAGCATGTAGGTATTGGAGTGGGTTGGTGCAGAAGGAATTGCAGCAGGATGCGGGTCCGATTTCAGGCAGCAACGACAGGCAGGAGGCGGCTTGGTGGCGCATATCCAGCTCGGCGACTCGACGACCCCCTTTTTCGATGTCCCAAATTGGGCAGGTGGGTTTGGTGGGTTGGGAGGGAAATGAGGAGGCGGCGAGTGTGGCGGGGAGGTGAAGAGGAAGGAATGGGAGAGAGAATGGAGGGGAGGTGAAGAGAGTGAAGGAAGAAATGGGGGGAAGATGGGTTTTAAGGTTTTTTTTTTTTTAATTTTTTTAATTAATTATTTTCAAATTTATAAAAAAATATTTTTTTTGGCACGTTATATAAATGTGGTAGCCATGTCAGCTTTTAACGGAACAATTGATGGAAAATCTGATGGATATATTATTTTGAAATAAAATAGTATGTGAGATATAAAAGTGAAATGTTTTAAAGATGTTGTATGAGATTGTTATAGACCTCAAATCTGAGGGTACTATGTAATTTACCCTAATTATTTTCATAAAGCAGTTATGGAGTTAGTCAAATTAACTAGGGTAAATCTCAATTTACTACTCTCAAGTTTCGTGATTTTCAACATTTAGTACATAAAATTTTTTTCGTCCCAGAGTCATACCTAAAGTGTTAATTTCCGTTAGTCTGGCTGTTAAATCTCCCGTTAACGGATGACGTGACACTTACGTGGACAATGATTGGATCCTACGCATCAATAAGGATCCCACGTGAATATTAAAAATAAATATAAACATTAAACATTAAAAAAATAAAAAAAATTACAAAAAAAATGTGTCTTCTTCCTCAACCCCACCCCCGCCGACCTTCATTCCCTTCTCTCCTTTGCACCTACCCAAGTCGCCTCCGCCACCCCATCCCTGGTCGACCCGGCCTACCTCATCCAGGTATGCATCATTCTCTACCAGCAACAGAACTAGCCCGAGTCGTCTCCACTCGATCCTCAACTCATCTGCCTTCCAACTCACGCATGAGTTCTTCCTTCAGGTCTACAACTCATCGTTTGGTGAATCGCAAGACTTTTCTGATTGCTTTTAGGACGTTGGCCAAGGCCAAGGAGTTGAACTAGTGTGTCGATTTCTTTCACGCCATGAATGGGTTTGTATTTGGGTACAATTTGGGGATTTTGAATGTGGTGGTTGAGGATTTGTGTGGGTCGAAACTCGTTGTTGAGGTGAGTTTTCTGGTTTTGAAGTTAAAGGAATCGATTCAGCCCGATGGGTTTACTTACAGGTGTTTGATTCAAGGTTTTTACGATGTGGGTGATTTGATCGAGGCTTCAAAGATTTGGAATTTGATAGTGGATGAAGGGTTCGACCCGAATATTGGTGCCGTTGAGAAGATGATGGAGACCATTTTCAACACGAATCAGTACGTTAAGGAACATGATGGAGACCCTTTTCACCCACAACAAAATGCTTAATGTCATCGGCAAGTCCAGGAACATCCAACTATTCTGGGACACCCTCCATAAGATGGGGCGTCGTCGGATCCGGTCAAGGTCGAGCTTAATTGGCTCGATCCTCTGCTTTTCTCCAGATTTAGGGTCGATTTCTTGAGATTTGCCGTCAAATCTGGTAGGTGAGGCACTTTCCTTTGAGCTCATAGGGCCGCCGAAGAGGATGAGGGTTGAGTGGGTAGAGTCGAAGACGGAAGGGGAATGATGGAAGTGCAGAGATTGGGTAGGTCCATAGGAGATAAGAGAGGGAGAAGGGATGGGGTCGGGGGTTTGAGGAAGAAGACAACTTTTTTTGTTTGTAATTTTTTTATTTTTTGTAATTTTTTAATGTTTAATTTTTAATATCCACGTGGGACCCTTATTGACATGTAGCACCCTATCATTGTCCACGTGACACCACATTATCAGTTAACGAAATATTTAACAGCCATACTAACGGATGTATGAGACTGTCCCAAAATTAACACTTTAGGTATAATTATGGGACGAAAAAAACTTCATGTACTAAATGTTGAAAACCACAAAACTTGAGAGTAGTAAACTTAGATTTACCCAATTAACTAAAATAATATAGTCACTTTTATAGGGATTTTACCACCTGTAAAAGTAGGGATAAAAACACTTAAAAATACTTGCAAGAGAAACAAAGTTATTGTAGTATAATTGGCTCAAGTAAGATCGTTCTCTACAAGGATTAATTTAAATAAATTAACGTAAAATCAAATCTCAACTAAGTATTTAGAATAAAGTTTTGGAAAATGATGATTTAATGACCTAAATTAAGAAAAAAATGAATTTAATTTAAAAGGTTAACTAAAATTGCAATTTTTAAAGAAGGAAAAATGAAATAATTTTTAGAATTCAAAGTAAGAAGGTAATAGGGTTTCGCCATCCTCTTAACAATCCTACGTAGATTTACTAATTACTTATGAATTATTCATGTAACTTTGAAGGTTAGGTTTTCCTAATGCATATTCTACTCGTGGTATTCAAGCTAGAACGTATATCAAACATGCAATCCGTCTGTGGTATTCAGATCAAATATAAACATGCATGACTCATTACGTTTTGTGAAAACCTCTTGAAAAACCATGCAACCTCTAAGACGTAGTATTCATCATAGGTGAAATTACAACTATTAATCACAAGAAGCAATACTCAATTCCCCGGTGGTATTCCAACCAAATTGCATCCAATTACTTATCTAAATATCCTAATGATCGCGTATCATTAAGACACAAAGATAGTTTAAGCACATTGATTAATAATTCAAAGTATGTATGCATAATATCATAAACAATTAAATAAAAACTACATATTCATGCTAAGGCTCAAGACATCGCCCTAGCAAAAGAAAATTAGTTACGCATATTCATAATTAAAATCAACATAATTGTATTCAACTAAAAAAAGAATGAAAACACCTTGTAGAATAAAGTCTGAAAATCTCTAAACTTTGTCCCAAATCTTCTCTCCAAAGAATTGCATGCGTTCTCTCTAAGAAAAAGCCTAGGTCTGCCAAAAGACTTATTTATACTACTCTAAATAAAATCCTCCTAATAAAAGGTCTTAGAATAAGACTAGGAAACTAAATAATTTAAAATAAAATAGGAAACATAATCTTAAATTGACTAGGTAAATTCGTCCAAAAATCTGCACAGCCACGTTTTGGACCCAAATCAGCTCCAAAACTGGTCCAAGATAGCTGGATTTAAAGCTTTGACTATTCTGAACACTTTTCCAGAATACCACGAACCCATCCGACGTTATATTGGGCTCAAAAAACGCAGTTTAAGCCTAGAAACGTTACTTTTCAACAACGCGTACTGCTCCTTCATTTAATCTCCAGAAAATAACCACTTGGTAGAAATTGCTGAGATTTTGACACGAACAAGCTAAGGAACACACGAACGTTCTCCAATTTGAATCACTCCAAAATTCGTCTATTTGGTCACGTTTTGCTTCAGAGGAAGTCGAATGTATTATGTTGAAAATATAAAGCAAAGTACCAAAATTTTACCAAAATAATTATCAAATTATACTAAGAATATGGTGAAATATATAATATAATTTTGACTCATCAGTTGGGTAGGTGCAGAGGAGAGAAGGGAGGGAGAAGGGAGGGGGGTCGGGGGTTTGAGGAAGAAGATAACTTTTTTTTTTGTAATTTAATTTTTTAAAGTTTAATTTTTAATTTTTTAATTTTTAATATCCACGTGGGACCCTTATTGACATGTGGCGCCCTGTCATTGTCCACGTGGCACCATATCATCAGTTAACAAAATATTTAATAGCCAGACTAACGGATGTATGAGACTGTCTCAAAATTAACACTTTAGAAATGATTTTGGGACGAAAAAACTTCATGTACTAAATGTTGAAAATCACGAAACTTGAGAGTAGTAAACTTAGATTTACCCAATTAACTAAAATAATATAGTCACTTTAATATAACTAAATTTGAATCTTTCTACATATTTTAAATGAATTTAATATTCGTTATTCCATCTTTCGTATAAATAATCTCAAATATAAAATTCCATACAATAAACAAAGAGTAGGAGATAAAGGTGACAAGCTTTTATACGAAACTGAGACGAAAGTCCAATTCGAAATTCAAGATAACATGTCTAATTTTTCAATTATGTATGCATGAAGAAATTGTGTAGAATCTTCCATGATTGGATGATGATGGAGTGGTGTTGGTTGGAGATTGGGTCATAAAACTCTACTTTTATTTTATTCCATTTGTGTTCATTTTTCAGTATGCCACATTGAATCGACTGCTAAACAGTCTAAACTAGAATGACAAAGTTTACACAACTTACTTTATAAGGACTAAAAACGAACCTAGACAAAACTACAAGATTTAAAATTGAAATTTGGACTTTAAAAATACGACTAATCATTGCGGAACAAATATTCACTATTTCACTTTAGATATTACCCGGTGATGAAAGAAATCTACGACAAAAATGATAAAAAGATTATAAAAAAAAAATTTCAATCCTCACACGCTCAAAATACCCCTTCTTGCGAGGATCTCACGAAAAAAAAAAAAGGTCGTACCCAGTGCACAAGGCTCCCGCTATATTCAGGGTCTGTGAGAGGTGAATGTCGGCTAGCCTTACCCCCATTTATGGAGAGGCTGCTCCCAAGTCTCGAACCCGAGACCTACCGCTTATGGGCGAAGGCACTTGCCATCGCACCAAGTGCGACCTCTCACGAAAATTGACAAAAATTAAAACCACTAAAATAGAATAACAAAATTGACATAATTCAAACCACAAGGGCCAAAAACGAACCTCAACAAAATTTGGGAGGTGGTTGTGCAAATGTGAAATTTGGTCTTCAAAATATACGACCCGTCGTTTCAGCCGAGCAGATAGTATTTTACTATTTTGCGTCAGCATTGAACAGTGATGCAAGAGATTTACGACGAAAAGATTTCTCTTCCCCCCACACGCAACAGAGTAAAAAACCTTTGACTGATTGAGACCCTACCACCCTCTCCCACACAGTGATTATTTTCTCGGGAAAGTGACGGAAAACAAAAGAAAATGGTGGTCAAGAGAAGTCAATCATCAACCCATTTGAGCAAGGATTCAAAGGTGGAGGTTTGCAGCAATGAAGATGGCTACAAGGGTGTTTGGTTCCCCGCCAAAATCATCGACCCGGACCCCCCGATTCCGGCCACGAGGAAGAAAAGGAAGAGCCTTTCCGGCTGCAGCAGCAGAAGCTCATCCTCCTCCACCAAGGCTCTGGTCCAGTACGAGACTCTGCTCTCCGACGATGACCCGGACAAGCCCCTGACGGAGCTCGTCGAGGTGGGTTTCATCCGGCCGGTGCCTCCGTCCGACATTGACGACAGGCCTTTCGAGCCCGGTGACAAAGTCGACGCCTTTCACCTCGACGCGTGGTGGCCCGGGGTTGTGATCAAGCTCGAGGAGGATGAGTACACGGTGGGGTTTCTGGACCCGCCTGATCTGCTTGTGCTGCGGCGGTCCGATTTGCGGTCGCACTGGGATTTCACAGACGGCATTTGGGTCGGAGCTAAGAAGGAGGTACTGGTTCTGGTTTTTTGGTAATGCATGTGGGTTTTGTTTTCTGATACATGATTTTTCAGGGTTTTTGCTTGCATGGATTTTTTTTGTGTTTATTTATGATTTTTTTTGAAGATTTTTTACCAGGGGTTTTCATGATTAAGAACATGCATGTTGTTTATTGTACATATTTGGCTCTGCCTTTTGTTGTTTTGGTTTAAAAATTCAATTTTTTTCATCTTTTATTGCAATTTTTTAAGAGGAGCTTGTTAAAATGGCTGTTCATGTTTTAATAATCCAAATGTTGTAGTATTGTATACTTCTCATGAGTTCATCGGTTCTCTTGACCACTCTGTTGATGATTTGCCAACCAAAGTTGTTATTTTTATTTATTGCGGATTTGATAATAGACTCTAAGAAAAGGCATGGAGTACTCGGAGCTAATGGAAGACGAGCGCTGTGACGTTCTAGGACTTGTATAGCCGACTCCACTTAGTGGGATAAGGCTTTGTTGGTGGTGGTGTTGTTTTTGCAGATTTGATAATGTGTTGTGCAGACCAGTAGTTGATACTGTTTGTGATTTGTAATTTCTTCTGGGATTACTCTGATAATTTTGTGTTTCTTAATTAAGTTTTCTCCACCTTGAATGCTCGTTTTAGTCCCCAAGTTCATTGTATCTGTGGCTCAACTAAAATTGTATTTCAAGGAGCATTTTGGCTTGCTAAGTTATACAATTTTATTGTGAACCGAATCTTTTACCTTTGAATCTGTGATTCTTATGAAGTTTTACAATAAACAGATAAATTTAGTAATCTGCTTATTAGTATCACATATAGAAAGATCCGGGGTTCTGAGTTTGCTAACAATTTATTTTTGAAGAAAATAATACGCACATTACAACTTGAATGATTATAAGCGTGTGATCCCTTTTAATAATAAGTCCGTGCTATACATGGCCAAGGATGCGATAACCACAACATTTAAATCTGCTGCAGTTTGCTTTTTAATGTAAATATTTATCTCTATGATCCTTCTTTCATTTTTGGTTTTTTAGAGTTTAAGGTTTTGATTTATTGAGTCCTGTACGTATTTTTTTCAATTCAAACCTTTCAACTCATATGTTAATCTCTTTTGCAATAATCTGACTTTCTTCTAATTTTGGGAGAGGATAGACATTTTGTATGTACTACATATGATTGTCATTGACAGAAAACTGATATTTTTCACTATTGGTTCATAGACGATGACAGGACCAAATTTCATTCCTGGGACAGCAGTTGAAGTGAATCCCAGCAAAGTAATACCTTTTTATGCTTGGTTTCCAGCAATTTATCTTGGGCAGCTGGGGATCGACTCTTTCTTGCTTCAATATAAGAGATCAAAGAACTGGGATGTTAAAACTGTAGTGTGTCGCCATCAGATTCGGCCTCAGCCTCCACTGTCGGATGAAAGAGATTTTAGCTTGTTGGATAAAGTGGATGCATTCCATGACATGGGTTGGTGGGTCGGAGAGATTACGAAAGTTCTTGAAGGAAACAAGTACGTGGTCACTTTAAGCTGCACAAGGCAGGAGATGGAATTCAGCATTTCAGAATTGAGGACTCACTTAGTTTGGCACGATGAAAGATGGAGTAATGAATTTGCGGTATGTACATTTTCCTCTTGTTTTATAAAGGGAAAGGTGGGGGGTCCTTACATGTTTCTTATGGGTATGATGGTAAACATGTTTGAAACATTCTGTGTCTTGTGTGACTAAAATTTTGGCAGTTATTTCCAGGAATCTCACTTTAGAAGGGATTCTCAAGTACCAACAAAGCATTCATGTCAGAGTTCCAGAAGTGATTACGAATTACAATCATGCAAGAGTTTTGGAAACTCTGAGGTAGCTACACCACTTCGAAAGAAAACACCTTGTTCTAGGATTTCATTGAAAAATCAATCGAAGCACTTGAGTCCTTGCATGGATAAATTACCTTATGTAATGACGAAAAAGAAATCGAAAAAGTCTCAGCAACCTAAAGATGATGAAACAATTGCATGTTTTTCCAAGAAGTTAAAGGGTGGATACTCAGAAGACTCCTTATCGTTTGAAAAATCAAATGCAAGGAGAACGCCCGCTAAAACTCAAAACAAAGAATCCCCAGTAACTGATGTCGTGGTAAGTGAACTCTCAGAAAAATGTTGTTGGTATTAAATTATTTATTCTCCTATTGCTGAGTGTTCCATTGTGGTAAACAAAATCATGATTCCAGAGTCTTCCCTTTCTAAACCTCATTAACTTGCTATATTCTATGCATTTTACCCAAGAAACCCTGTAATCACAGAGAAATGTGTTGGTTCACTCAGTATTGTTCAACGTACTTGAGTCGGTGAGTTTTATCAGCACTACTTAAACTATTCTGACAACACTCACCAACTCAAGTGATTCCAAGAGCAAGGTTAACTAGTGCTCATTACTGGGGAAATGTCTGCATGATATTTAAAAGGAAAACAACAAAATCTAGGCATCTGTTGCCTCTTTGGTTTGCATGGCATGATAATGCCTGATGGAAATGTTCCGAGAATAAGGTTAGGTTCATATTCTCGGAGGCCTCTTTGCTTGAGTAAGCAGTCCAAGCGGCTTGCCTTATTTTATGTCCATTCAAGGATAATTGGGATCAAATGTTTTCATCTGCATTGTTTGAGGAAGTGCAATACAAAGAAAGCCATGCACTATTTTTCCTCCGATTTTGTTTCTTCTGAAACCTAACGGTCCTGATTAAAATGCGTTCATTGCTCTTGCAGAAGATTGAGAAACCGAAGATTGGACGACTGGATGATCAAGCATTAACTCATTCTAAAAGAAAAGGTAAACCACAAAAATCTCAAAGTGATATCCCATGACCTAGAGTAGGACATGATAGGAGGGGCAGGCCACTGAAATTGCATCGTAAAAATATCGATCGCCTGCATAAACAGACATATACAAGATATATGTCCACACAATCAAGCAAATACTTTCTTTAATGTATTCCTTTGCCTGTAGTTAGTTTGACTAACGTCAAGTTTGTGTCCTAGGTAACCCTTCTGGGACTGCCAACCAACAAAATGAGGATAATGGAAGACAGGTTGAAGCTGGTGTCACAGGTGAGGTGGAGCAACACGACAATCCACATTTGGTTTATGGAAGAAAATTGAATCCATGGATTCCTTTTCCCGTAGCAAGTTTGACTAATTTCAAGATTGTGTTCTAGGTAACCCTGTGGGGACTCCCAACAAACAAAACGAGGTTAACGGAAGACAAGTTGAAACTGTTGTCACAGGTGAGGCGGATGCGAAGCAAAATAACAGTACTTATTTATGGTTTTCCTTTTGCCCTCATATGGTAGTACTTATTTATCCTATTTATTTTTCTCTTGTGTTGTCTAAAATTTCCAGTAGATTGCTCGACAAGAGAACTTAAGGTGGCTGCTGTAAAACCTATAGAGGGCTCAAGTAAGCAAATGTGAAAATTTTCAATAGTTTCCTTTGACTCTAGTTATTTTGATTTACATCTTGTTGTAGGTAGCCCTGCCGAGACTGCCAACCAACAAAATGATGTTACAGGAACACAAGTTGAAACTGGTGTTACTGTTAACATTGAGCAACAAGACAGTCCAGATTTGCCATTTGTGAAATCTTATCCGGAAATTTGGGAGAAAGTTGAATCTATGGATGCATTTAAAAGATATCCGCAAAAACCACATTTTTATCCTTTAGTTAAATGTGGAGAGCTAAGTCGTGAATCATTAGCGGTTGCAAAGATGTTAACCTTTGCCTCTTTGGTAGAGAAGACCTCCAAGTTGAACGTTGAGGATCCTGACGACTTCTTTGATAGCATCTTCGAAGAACTAGGTGATTTGGAAACGTTTGGATTTGATGTCAAGGCAGTACACGATCGTCTGAACTCTTTGCTAGAAATGAAAGTTCAGTTGGGGCACCTTCAGGATAAGTCAAAAGAAGTTCAAATCAAGATCGTGGAGCAAACTCAAGACAGAAAGAAACATAATGAAATAATCAGTGGGGTTGCTAAGCAGATTAAGGACTTGCAGGATCAACTCGTGGTGCTGATGTCAGAGGACGCAGCCAAAGGTTCTGAAATTAGCAGGTTGCAATCCGAAGCAGACGCTATCATTGAAAGCATTCAGAGCATCCGCCGTATGAGACACTGGCTGAAGCATGGTGATCCTCGTGAAAACGTTCATTTGATTACCGCTTTGTCTGCGGAAACTGAATGGTGAAAGTGATACCAAGCTAATCTGTAGTTTATTTTGTAACAGCTCTTAGCCCTAGAAATTCTGGCACCAGGTATCTGTACTGCAATGTCATCAACCAGTATTAGCATATCTATATATAGACCGGGTTTTCAACCCCCATATCACTTTCTGTTGGTTTCCTGTAAAATTTTATGTTCACCTCTTTCTGGTAAATCTTTAGCCTCTGGTTTCCTTTCAGCAAATTTTGAGCTTTCTTGCTACCCATGATTGATGGAGGTAAACTTATACAACTGCAACGTCACGGTAACGGTATCCAAGCCTACCATGTGCTGTCATGTATTTTACCTTTTTAACATGATAACGCGTGATTGGTTTGAGATACCGCGACTTTGGCTGACCAGTTAAAACTAAAGAATAAGAACTTCTACACAAAGAATTGCAAGAGTAATTGATCCACAACCTCAAGCCAAGTAAAACCAAAAACTTTTATGAACAAAACTCAGTGAGTACAACGAAATGGGGCTTATAGGGAACTGCCCCTGTTTCTTTTCTTACAACTCTGCTTGCTTGGACCCCTTTATATTTTCTTCACCAAGAGGGGCAAGATTCATTATTCGTTGCGGACTTTGAAGCCGTGTATTCTTGGAACATAGTTCTGAATGCCCTTCTGCGGCTTAAGATGCCCGTAGGTCAAGAAGAAAAGGTGAGGAAATGTGGTTCCAAAGTATGCCCCATCAATTTCTGAGATTGTTGTCAAGGCAAACATTGAAGAACTGAACTCAAAACATAATTGTAGTCGTAAAAAATTCTAGTTACCATGTATCCCATGAAATTTAACGGGTGAATCTGAGCCACTTAAAAGACAATGTATAATTATGAGATATTCATAGATGTATAGAAGGCACTCGTCATGTCAATTACGAAGCGATACATAAGGATACCTTCTTGGTGTCTGGATTGCGGGGAATAAATGTCTTCACACTTGGGACAATAGATTTTTACAGTGCTTAATCTTGGGATGTCTGACTCACCAACAGGCAGACAATGTTGTTTATTGCAGTTCACTCTTGGACATCTGCCAAAATCATAGTTCCTGTACTTCTCCAACTGAATTGCACACTGTTAAATTAGGAAGCCTCAAATATAATGCCACAGTTCGAAACACGACCGGAGTTTGGGGGTGTGACATCTAATATTTTGAAAGAAAATAAAGTAATATTAATATGTACATTGTAAACACTTTACCATTGCAGACAATCCCTTGGTAGTTGCTATGTATCTGGCATGAATTAAACCGTAGAGCATCTCCGTCGCAGATTCGATCAGATTGTTCTGTTCCTCATCAGTTAAGCCATCTATTGATCCCATTGGAATTTACATAAGAATTTAATAACTTCGTATTGCAATGAAAGCTGAAATCTTCATCAAAGCAATTTTGGCTGATGGACTTATCTGATTCTTACCATTGGAAGACTCAATGTCCAACATTAAATCCAGTGCATAATCATAGAATGGTACGTGGTTTCTTAAACCTGAACGGTTGAAATCATCGAGGATGTAATCATCGTCGACTTCACAGAAGAATTCATTCCCTTTCTGATTGCAGAACCATGATATCCAAGATGCATCTTCATCACCATAGCATCTAACATCTGAATCTTTGCAACTTGTATCAGCTGATTCCGCTGCACAATTGTTGTGGGGAAAACATACATTCGAAAGATTAATTGTAAACACATCAGAAAGAATGCAACCTGGAGTTATGGAATTAAATTAGAACCAAAATTGTTGAACAAAAATGAGCTAGAGATACTACTACATAAAGCAGCAGCTGCCACGGTTTCATGGCATGGGTCACCAAACCTTGGCTTTTTTCACTCAGTAGCCACGGCTAGCTATCGTGGTGTTTGGAAGAAGTTTGTTCCTAATTGTTCATTCCGATTCACTCAATAAAAAGTATCGCCAAACACATAGGTGGTGGCGTTCTAAGACTTAGTGGGATAAGGTTTTGTTGTTGTTGTACATGGATGGAAAAAGTCACTATATATAGCTTAAACCAAATTCAGAAACTCTCTAACATGCACTACTCGATCCATTCAAATGATACTAACACAAATTCATGAGAGCAAATGCCGCGACATGTTGATATGGTTGTATTTCTCTTCCACAATTAATGTTGGAAGTTCTCTGAGTTGAAATTTCCCTTCACATGATCGAAAACAAAAATGCCATGACATGTAAACTTTCGTTAACCATTCGACGATGAACGTTTAATGTGGGATTATGCATGCATGCATGAACGTTGAATAATGTTTGTGGAACTGAAACTTACCCTGATCATAGAATGTATCCGTATCATCGGGATTGGCAGCAAGTGACGTAGAAGGAGCCAAAGATTTGTCTCTGAGTCGATTAGGGTTCAAAGCCGGTTCAGAACGTGATCTAATTACACCTCTCTGATCTTTAGGCATAGTAATTACTCAGTCTCTCCCTTGATCTGTCTGGACCTGGAAGCAATGTGCAGTTTCGGTTTCTGTATCGACGGCGATTTCAACGTACATTTGGATCTGGAAGTGGCAATCAAGGGGGAAAATAGTTTTTATTTTTATTTTTTATTTGATGAAATACTCGATCTCTTTTTTTGGTTTTGGGGAAAATGAAAACGTTTAGAATAATAAAAAAAAATGTTGTGGTCTATTTTATCTGACAAGGAGAGTGAGGCCAGCAGTAAGGAGAAGAGAGAGATATGTATTTGTAGAATTGTAGGGGAATGTGTGTTGTTATCCATCCTATATTGTGCCTTTATTTATAGTAGTAAAATGAGAGAGGATATTTCTTCTTCCCAAGTAATACAAGTTGTAATAGAAAAGGATAACTAGAATCAAATTTAATCTAGGATTTACACAATCATACTTAAACTAGGAATGTCTACAACACTCCCCCTTGAGTGTGTAAATACTCAAGGTAGATTCAACATCATGCAGAGGTTGAGGAAGTCGGCTCGTTGACACTGATTCTAAGGAACAACGCTTATTCTCAATAAGGTAGGAACTTGCATAAGTAGTAAGTCTCACTAAAAAACCCTAAGACTACGGCAAAAACCCGATGAGGGACAAAATCCATAGTTTAAGGAAATATGCGTGAGAAATGCAAAGTCAAAAGAAACGTCTATGAGACGTCATCAGAGATATGACCAGCCCAAGGTGGGTGCCTCGTTAAAACCTAGTTAGGTAGCAAAAACCCATTGGAAAAAATGCTCCTAATCGTAGGGGAAAAGAGTACATTAAGATCAAGCAAGTATCTTCAAGATACTCCCCTTGAGTTTGACACAATTCCAAAGAGAAATAGCAATGTTATAACTAAGAAAGTTTACGCATACCAATTCCCATGAACAAGCTTCTGAAACGTCGTCTTCGGCAATGATTTGGTGAAGAGGTCGGCCAGATTGTCTTGTGAATGGGTTTGTGTGACTTCAATCTTCTGATGCTTTTGTTGTTGATGTGAAAAGAAGAAATTCGGCGTAATGTGCTTGGTGTTGTCTCCTTTGATATAACCCTTCTTGAGCTATTCGATGCAGGCTGTGTTGTCTTCAAAGATCGTCGTTGGGATATCAATGGTGGGATCAAGATCGCAGGAGCTTCGAATATGGCCCACTACTGTTCTCAACCAAAAGTATTCCCGAGTTGCTTCATGTAAGGCGATAATTTCAGCATGGTTAGACGAAGTGGCAACTAAGGTCTGTTTAGTTTAACCTGCAAGAGATTGTGGTGCCTCCAATGGTAAAGACATAACCCGTTTAAGAACGCGCCTTATGCGGATCAAATAAGTATCCTGTGTCGGCATAACCAACAAGGCGAGAATCGACTTGAGAAGCATAAGGTGTGGCATCACTCGAGGATCCATAAGGATAGAACAAGCCCAAAATTTAGTACCCTTAAGGTAACAGAAGATGTCTTTCACGCTAGTCCAGTGTCTGCGTGTTGGTGCATTACTGTATCTTGCCAAAAGATTAACAACGAAGGAGATGTTGAGTCTAGTGCATTGAGCTAAGTACAAAAAAGCAATTATCGCACTTAGATAAGGAACTTCAGGCTCCAAAATCTCTTCATCATCCTCCTTTGGACGGAAGGGATCTCGTTTTGCATCTAGTGATCGAACGACCACAGAAGTACTCGAAGGTTTTGTTTTATCCTCATTAAAGCGGCGTAACACCTTCTGGGTGTAGTTCGATTGATGTACTAGAATTCCATCTGAACAATGCTCTATCTCAACACCGAGACAATATCAAGTCTTACTTAGATCTTTCATCTCAAATTCAAACTTGAGTGCGCGACAGTTCTCGCGAGCTCTTCATGAGTTCAAATGAGATTCATGTCATCGACATATACTGCAACAATCACAAATCCAAAATGTGACTTCTTAATGAGTACACAAGGGCATAGTTTGTTGTTCACATATCCCTGACTAGTTAAATACTCACTTAGACGGTTATACCACATTCTTCCAGATTATTTCAAACCGTAAAGTGAACGCCTCAGCCTAATTGAGAGCCTGTTATGGGATTTGAACCAATCAATGTAAGCCCTTTGGGAACCTTTATATAAATTTTCGTATCAAGATCCCCATAGAGATACGCAGTTACTACGTCCATCAGCTGCATATCCAGTTTTTTTGGAAACTACCAAATTGATAAGGTAGGGAAAAGTAATCACATCGATAACGGGTGAATAAGTTTCATCATAGTCAATCCCGGGGTGTTGTGAGAAGCCTTGTGCAACAAGACGAGCTTTGTAACGCACAATTTCGTTCTTCTCATTACGCTTCTGAACGAAAACCTATTTGTAGCTAACAGGCTTCACATATGAAGAAGTAAGAGCTACAGGTCCAAACACTTTAGGTTTCGCAAACGAATCGAGTTCGACTTAGATTGCTTATTTCCAGTTTGACCAATTAGTTCTATGTCGACATTCATCAACGGAACATGGTTCAATGTCATCATCGCTTAACATGATCTCAGTAGCTACTGCAAATGCTAATGCATCATCAACAATCATCTCATTTCTACACCATACATAATCTAAGCTAGCATAATAGTCCAAAATCTCATGATTCTCGGAAGGAGGATCCGTCTCTTCAAGGACGCTTCCGTAATCCAGAATTTCCTCATAAGTTGGATAGAATGAGTAAGCGATAGTCGGATTCAGGCTTTTCAGGACCTTGTGTTGTGGGTTTCTTCTTCCGGGGGTATGAATCTTTGAACCAAGGGGTCTGCCAAGCTTTTGTGTAGGGGCAGATGATTGGCTAGCCGCTAATGTACGTGGATCACCAATATTGGCGTCCCAGGCCTCAAAGAAGGAAGTCCGTCATGCATTTGATACATCTATCTTTGTAGGCATATTCACAGCTGGAATATGTGATCTTGTCGCACGCGCTAGATCGGTGTAAGCATCTGGCATGCTCTGAGCTACGCTCTGGAGATCTAATATACGCTGCACTTCAGTTTCAGATTGACCGATGCGGGGATCTAAATGAGACAAAATGGGAGTCGTCCACGATAATTCGCGTCGTTCTTTAGGAACGTTGACGTTCTTATATCCCCCTAACTACGGGAAAACTATCTCATAGAAGTGACAATCCACGAAACGCGCGGTAAACAGATCGCTTGTCAAAGGTTCTAAGTAATGAATAATCGAAGGAGAATCATACCCGACATAGATTCTTATCCTTTGCTGAGGCCCCATGTTTATACGTAAGGGCGGCGAGATTGGCACATATACCACATAACAAAAAATGTGCAGATGCAATATGTCGGGTTCGTATCCAGTAATCCACTGAAGGGCACTAAATGGTTGTGTTGCAACAGGCCTCAGGCGGACCAACTTTGCTGCGTGGAATATTGCATGGCCCCAATTAACGATCGGGAGCTTGGTACGTATGACCAACAATTGAACAATCATTTGTAAGCGCTTAATGAAAGCCTCTGCCAGACCGTTCTGGGTGTGAACATGGGGTGATGTTCAACTTCAACCCCAACCGACATGCAATAGTCATAAAAATTTTTAGATGTGAATTCTCCAACATTATCCAATTGAATAGATTTGATCGGATAATCAGGGTGTGAACCTTGAGCTTGATAACATGAGCCAACATTTTGAAGAATGCAACGTTCCTTGTGGACAACAAGCACATGTGTAACCAACGTGTGGAAGCGTCAACCAAAACCATAAAATATCTAAATGGTCCGCATGGAGGGTGAATCGGTCCATAAATGTCCCTTTGAATATGTTGTAGAAAAATTGGAGGATTCGAATGAATCTTGTCATAAGAAGGCTTAGTAATAAGCTTTCCTATTGAACATGTTTGACATGCGATTCTTTGGATTGAACCTAAACTTCGGGTTAATGGATGCCCGTGTGAAGATTTGAGGATACGGTGCATCGTTATTCGTCCAGGATGTCCCAAACGATCATGCCAAAGTGTAATTCTGTGCGCAGTCCCAGTAGTAGGGCCGGCCACATAGTGGCATTCTATGGGGCGTATGGTCGTAGTACACAGACCACTAGGAATACACTCCATCTTCTCTGCAATACGCTTCTGGCCATATTCGTAGGAAATTATGCATATAAATTCAACTTTGTTTTTTACGTGGGTTTCAGCGTGGTAATTGTTATCTCTAATGTCCTTGAAACTTAACAACGTTTTTTTCGAAATGTGGAGAATAGAGTGCCTCAACAATGGTCAAGATTGAACCATTGAACACCATTATACATGCCTTACCGTATCCTTCTATCAAGTTGGATGGGCCTGAAAAGGTTGTCAGATGTGCATTCTTAGGTATGAAGTTAGTGAAATAGATGTGTTCACGCACAACTATGTGTGTGGTTGCCATATTTGCCAGACAACTAATTTTCTCACTAGTCATACCTAGAATGAAAAATTAATTTGAATCGGTCACATGCATAAAAGTTCATAAAAACAAATATCAATTCAAAATAATTTCATTTATTCAAGGATGGTAATGAATTAAAACTTAATATCCAAAAAATAACGAATCACCAACAAATAATCCAAAAATAAAGGAAAAATTGTTCAAAAATCAACCAAAAACAAGGGGGGGGGGTTCGGCCACTAGGTGGAATTTGGCGCCAATGTGCAATTTTAACTAACTAAAATTGTTTATGTCTAAGATTCTAATCTTCCATAGGGGTGGTATCCTCATGAAAGTCAAAAACCTTCATCTTTGTAGTCTCCGGGTCGTCAACTTGCTCAAAGTTTGATTCAAACTTCTTACGACGAGAATGATATTCATTTACAACCTTCTTGGGAGCTCGGTAAACACGAGACCAATAGTCATTTGAACCACAGCGATAACACATATCTGTGCCCATGGTTTCAGGTGCTTTACCCTTATTCTTGAAGTTTGGGGCCTTGAGAGCGAGGTTTGGGCTTTTTGGGCTTTGTTTCCTCCCTTGGATGGGCCTTGACTCTGTTGACCTTGGTGGGATGGCTTTTGGACACCCCTACCACGCCTCTTTTGGCGTTTTGGGCTTTGGTTTGTGCTATAATGTGCTTCAGGCACATCAGTTGCCCCAATAGGTCGAGCTTGATGATTCTTCATCAACAGCTGGTTTTGC